GTGCCTGCAGCCCCCCCCCCAGCCAGCGTTCCTGCCCCGTTCCCTCCTGCGCCCCCTGCAGGGAGTGGAGGGAACAAACAGGAAAGTGTGTGTCTGAGAAGGGGGCCCTGTGTTCTGGGGCTGAGCATGGCGGGAGGATGCTGGATCTCGAGGATGAGACTCCAGGTTTGGGACTCATGAGATCCGGATTCAGGTCCTGGACCTGCCGCCGTGCTGGGTTTGACAGCAGCATCGCTGGCCCGCGCCAGGCCGGGCTGGGACCAGAAGCTCGCAGGGTCCCCTCTGGCCTCAGTCTCTTACCTGCCGTCCCGATGAGCCGCGCCCCCTTCGGTCACCGTCTTGACGAAGATGCCCAGCTTCTCCAGGCCCATGTCGGCTCCGGCGCCCATCCCGATAATACTGATTCCCAGCCCCTCGGAGTCTGCAAGAGAGAGACCCGGTGTCCGTGTGGAGTCACGGGGGGCGGCTCCGAGCCAGGCCAGCCCTGTGCCCTCCCCCCGCCCAGCGAAGGGGCCCCGGCCAGGCTGGGGCAGCAGGGAGGCACCCGCAAAGCGACGGGCAAACGCCAGTGGACAGGCCTGGAGCAGAGAGAGGGCTCCTGCCTTTGCCACGACTGGCCCCGGGGGAAGGAGCAGGAGCAGAGCGGAAGGACAGATGGCGGCTGCAGGGCGGGAGGGTGAAGGAAAGAACAAGGGAGTGTGAAAAAGAGCACCCAGGATGGGACGGGCCAGTTCAGACCCACAGCACAGCTGGCCCCTCCGCAGGCTTCACTGGGGACAGCTGGCCGGCTTGTCTAGAACAGGGATCAAACAAGAGCTAGACACCTTCCTGGAGGACAGGTCCCCCAAGGGCTACTAGCCAGGCTGGGCAGGGACGTGTCCCCGGCCTGTTTGTCAGAACCACAGAATCCTGGGGGGTCATCGAGTCCAGTCCCCTGCCCTCGCGGCAGGACCAAGCACCGTCTAGACCATCCCTGACCGGCGTCTGTCCAACCTGCTCATCAGTATCTCCAGGGACGGAGATTCCACAACTCCCCCCAGGCAATTTATCCCAGTGCTCAGCCACCCTGACAGGCAGGAAGTTCTTCCTAATGTCCAACCTAAACCTCCCTTCCTGCAATCCAACCCCACTGCTTCTTGTCCTGTCCCCAGAGGCCGAGGAGAGCAATGTTTCTCCCTCCTCCCGGTGACGCCCTTTTAGACACTTGAAAGTCGCTCTCCTGTCCCCTCTGTCTTCTCTTTTCTAAACTAAACAAGTTTCTTTCAGTCTCCCCTCGGAGCTCATGTTCTCTCGACCTTTCATCATTCTTGTTGCTCTTCTCTGGACCCTCTCCAATGTCTCCACGTCTTTCCTGAAATGCAGTGCCCAGAACTGGACACAATCCTCCAGCTGAGGCCTAATCAGCAGAGCAGAGCGGAAGAATGACGTCTCCTGTCTTGCTCTCAACACACCTGCTAATGCAGCCCAGAATCACGTTTGCTTTCTTTGCAACAGGGTCACACTGCTGACTCCTATCTAGCTTGTCGCCTACTATGACCCCGAGATCCCTTTCTGCCGTCTCCTTCCTAGACAGTCGCTTCCCACTGTGTGTGTGAAATGGATTCTGTATGCGCGCTTCCTAAGGGGAGCACTTTGCATTCCTCCGTATTACACTGCATCCTGTTTCCCTCAGACCATTTCTCCAGTTTGTCCAGATCGTTTTGACCCGTCCTCCAGAGCCCTGGCAACCCCTCCCAGCCTGGGATCCTCTGCAAACGTCATAAGTGTCCTCTCTGCGCCGTTGATGAAGACACTGAAGGCTGCCTGTGGAAGGCTACCTCAGCCCCACCCCTCCCAGGGTACAGAGCCAGGCCCCCGGCAGCAGGGGCGGATACAGGGCAGGGCGAGCGGGGCGGCCGCCCCGGGCCCCACGCTTCAAAAAGCCCCGCGCATGCGCCGTGGCAAAGGGGGGCCCCGCGAAATTATGCCGCCCTGGGCCCCGCAAAACGGTCATCTGCCCCTGCCCGGCAGACTGAGCTACAGACCACTGGTCTGGCCCAGGCCCAGCCGGGCAGATTGCCTAACCCCCAGGGCTCAGTCAGGAGCCCCGAATTCTAGGCCCCCTGCCCCTGGCCAGGTCTCGGGGCCCCCCCTTGGCTGGGGGAAGGGGGGCCCCGCGAAATTATGCCGCCCTGGGCCCCGCAAAACGGTCATCTGCCCCTGCCCGGCAGACTGAGCTACAGACCACTGGTCTGGCCCAGGCCCAGCCGGGCAGATTGCCTAACCCCCAGGGCTCAGTCAGGAGCCCCGAATTCTAGGCCCCCTGCCCCTGGCCAGGTCTCGGGGCCCCCCCTTGGCTGGGGGGCTGGCGGCG